GGTGATGAGGGATTCTTTTCCGAAGGTTCATGGGCAGGTGGACAAGGAGTTACCGCATGGAACTGGAAGCGTGTAATCGCGAACCCTTTTTATTGTAAACCAAACTGTTGTGGCAAACCGGCGGCCCAAGGCAGTCGGGGACGATTTCCCCATACCTCGCCAGTCCCCCTACCTGGCCAGTGTATTGTACCTTTTAATAAATCAGAGTAAATATTTCATATGTACATGTAGTTATTAGTGATTACGGTACTGCGAAGCCTCCGGAATGAGGTAAGGTGTGGTAAGCAGTGGAATAACTGTCATCCAAAGGGCTGCGTTAGCTGATAGGTGCCTATGGATCACTAATGGGGGAATTGAACGGACGTTGTCTGTTGGATGGGTGGCTGTCTCTAGCAGTGGTAACGTAGCCATCATATAACGGTAAGGATTGCGACTAATCGACCAACCTTGAAGGCTTGGTACGTAAACATATTTACGTACGTAGAATAATGCAATGACGTCCACTACGCCTCGTCGATAAACCCTTGTAGGTCAGGAAGGAAGTGATTACAGAAGGCCTTTAGGGCGGGATCTGAGAGATACGTAGAGACTGTCTGAGGCCGCTGCCGGCCACGGTAGACGATAAGTAGGAATAGCTGTAGCTGGTAACGAGCGACATGACCCACCCGTAGGGAAGGGCATATCAGGTCAACTAACAAAGCCGGTTGGGAGGGACAGTAGACTGTGAAGCAGGCGGAAATGCAAACAGCCGATGAAGGAATTGTCGATTGCGGTAAGTTAGCGTAAAAGGGAGCGGTACTGCGGGAAATGATATCCGCACGGCGTAGATTACAGGCCTTCGGAAGGGGGAAAGGGGAAAGGCGTGGGCTAGGCGGTAGAGGTGTATGTAAATACGGCAGTAGTCTAAGAGCCGAATGCCTGTGGTAGCAGCTACCCCAAAGTGACAGACGTATGTTTGGACGGCGTAGGCTGTAAGCCTTTTAGTTTCAGGGGGAAGGGGTGGGTGTTGCAGAATATGCGGAGAGAAGGCCTGCAGGGTCAGGTGTACGCCCGGAAGTTGAAGGCGGGCTGGAAACGTTAGTGGACAGCTGGCATAAGTGGTAGTCCTGCTGACGAAATCGGAATGCCGGCAACTCAGTTAGGTGGACTCCGGAATGCGTAGGAGGAGAGGCAAGTGAACCATGATTGGAAACCGAGAGATGATGACGGGAAACACTACGTAAACCGAGAAACCGTCGAACGGGCAGTTAACAGCGCAACTGCAACGCATGGGGAACTGTCCAGAGATGGTGTGGAGTAAGAGAAGTTTTTGTGCGTAAATGCATAGAAGTTGCATTGTATGTTGGACATAAATTTTAGGCAACAGGAAATGGGAACTCCACGTAAACCCTACGGAGGCGGGTTGCTGGGTGTGTTTGAATGTTTCCTTCTAGCCATGGAGGCCACAGGTCTTCCATTAGGGCTACCTTACGTACTATTGTTTGTTCAGTAGGTGTGCTTGTGGTATTTTTTTTTGCCGCCGCGGCAAAAAAAAATACCACAAGCACACCTACTGAACAAACAATAGTACGTAAGGTAGCCGTAATGGAAGACCTGTGGCCGCTTATTTGGCACCGGTCTCTGATTTCTTAGATATTATTAGCCGGTCATAACTCAACCTCGCAATGGCGAAATCAGATAATGAAACGAAACAAGGAAGAGGCAACTAACCGGCGGGTCTTCTCGATCTCCGCAATCAACTTGTTGGCTTCTTCGTAGGCCGAGGGCTCTAAAGTAACTGGGCGCATGCTGGGTGGAATGAGTGCCGGAGGGAGGGTGGCTGGCAATTCAGCGGCGCAGTTGGAAGCCAGTTGTTCATTTGCCAAGTGCATCGCCACAGCGAACTGCTCTCTGGAGAGAACGGATGGAGATGAAGAAGAGAAATAGATCAAAACTATGTTCACGGGAACGAAAATCGAGGCGACATTAAGTTTAGGAGGCTGAAAAGTGCAGAATAGGGCCTGAGATTCGATTTTGCTCAACTGCTCTGTCAAAAAGTATCTTAAGATGTTTCTAACAGATGATTTCGAAAGGAATGCAAAGTCAAAGGACACTTTCCGATTCGTTATTTCTTCCCCCGTCAGGAGTGTTAATGATTCGCCTCTTTCCGTCGGCTAAAATCTGCGTTTATATTGAAGAATATGCTTAAATATTTCTTTAGCAGGTCACGGTAAAAGGGTGGGCCTTAATTTCTGATTGGCGAAGATATTTGGGCTTAAAGTGTAAGGTGAGCGAAGATATGTGTGTATTTAAAGGTCCAAAAACGTGGTGCAAATTATTTGCTGCTGGACAAAAAACGGAAACGTTGGCCGATATTGACGAATTTTTAAAATCTGGCATCCATCCCATGAAATGTTGACCGATATTCTGAAATGTGCTTTGGATTAGAAAGGATTGCTTAGGTGAGACTGCAACATTCATTACCTAACAGTATAACCTAAGGACATTTCAATCACGCCAGCATGCCAGTTCTTGAATGAGTCGTTTTTCGAGCGTCTGCAAAAAATCTCACTCGCCGCAAAGTGACTACCTAAGTACAGTTTTTTTTACATGAACTTTAATGCCCTTACATATTTAAACGTCCTTCGCAAAAACGTGCACAAAAGATTCCTTCTGGCGCTACTTTTAGTAATAAATTACGTCTTCGAATTATATAATCGAAGATAGGGCATCTTTCATCGAGTGCAAAATTTCGGGATGACACAATGCACTATCAAATGATTCTAAAAAAAGAATATTTTAATGAATGTTTCGGTAAGAGAGGAGAGCAGGAACCGTTAATACAAGTGGCCGTGCACCAAAGTCCTAATCCTTAACTCCAACCCTACACCCGACCCTAAGCTTACCCACAATCTTGCCGTAACCCCAATCTTAGCCCTCACCTGAAAGCGATTTAGCGGACGGCCATCTGTGTTTAGGGGGAGGAGAGTTCTTATCTCCGTGTATTACCTGCGTTTTCCGTAAAATATGTGTATCGAAAATTGACGAACTCACACTACAGTAGGTGGGCGAACTCATGATATGTCAACCGAAATCCCGAAATGCGTTTTCGTTTCGCTGTAAAAATAATCATCATACAGCATAATTTCATAATAATTCCGTTATCGCAGGATGCCGGCTTTCGAAAGAACTTCTTTCCGGCTGCATGCAAAAACTATACTCTGTAAAAAATGGCTACTTACGTAGCATGCATTTTCATCACTGATTTTCTAAGCCCCAAAGAATTCAATTATACTTCATGGAAAACATGCATTAAAATATCCCTTCTTTTGCTCATTCGGTAGGAAATTACGTCTTCTTCCAATTTTATACTCTAAGAAAGTGTATAATTCGGTTTTAAAAACGTTTCTAACTGGCCGTTATAAAACGTCACGTCTCTGCATTTACCAATGTGGACCAAATCCACTGTTAAATTTTGGAAATTCCATATGGTCGCCTCCTAATACCGTAGAGAAATGTATGGTCTTCAGTATGCGGAAAATATACAATTTGTATTTTGAAACCCTGAATGCAAGTGTAACTCAGGTCGGGGATCAACATTATTCGGGAATTGGAAGTCTTTGAAAACCGAATTGTACCCTTCCTTCGAGTATAAAATTGGAAGAAGGCGTAACTTTCTGCCGAATGAGCAAAAGAATGAATATTTTTATACATGTCTTCCATGAAATATAATTGCATTTTTAAGGCCATATAAAGTCAATGAGAAAAATGCATGCTACCTCAGTAGTCCTTTTTTACAGAGAACGGTTTATGCGGGAAGAAGTTCTTTTGGAAGCCGTCATCCTGCGGTAACGGGATTATTATGAAATGATGCTGTATGATGACTAGTTTTACAACGCACTTAATTAATCTTTTCGCAACGAAAACGCATTTCAGAATTTCCGTTGACATTTCATTAGTTAGCCCACCTAGTGTACATAAGAAGTCATTTTTACCGGCTGTGGCTTTTGCATGCGGCTGGAAAAGAGCGCGTCCAAAAGAAGGCATTTTACTGTGACTGAAATATCTTGGTATTATGCTGCATGGCAATCAATATTACAACTTCACCTCAGACATTCTTTCTTATTCAAAGACATTTCAGAACGCTATTACCGACAAAGGCAAGGGAGACTGGAATGGCCATTTCTGGCTTATTAGCCGTCGTCAGCCAGCCATGTCCAACCCCGAAGAGTGAAACACCTGGGGCTCGAACTCGTGACCTGTCAGTTAGAAGTCCAACGCCTCTAACCACTAGGCCACGGGCCCGTTGTCCTGTCGGTTTAGATCGGGAATATACAATGGTAGGCGACGCTCACCGATCGCTCTTACGGAACTCACTCGTTCCGTTGTGCCTTATGGACTCTCTCTCGAGCCCAATCAGCAGCCTCAGAGCGACGCATGATATAAGCAGAATGGTATTACTGACAAAGACCAGAGAAACTGGAATGGTCATTTCTGGCTAGTTGGCCGTCGTCAGCCAGTCATACCCAACCCCGAAGTCGCCGTGTGTCTGCTGTGTGGCTGCTGGTTGGGCTCGAGCGGGTGAGCCCGTAGGGCACAACAGAACAAGTGTGTTCCGTAAGAACGATCGGTGAGCGCCCCCTACCATTACATTTCAGAATATCAGTTAATATTTCATGGGATACGCAAAGTATCCAAACCGGTTGATAGCATTACCGACAAAGGTAGGGGAGACTGGAATGGCCATTTTTGGCTTGTTAGCCACCATCAGCCGGTCATACCCAACTGCGAGGTATGAAACTGCCGAGGTTCGAACTCGCGACCTGTTAGAAGTCCAACGCCCAGACCGTTCAGTCACGGGCCCGTTGTCCAGTCAGAAGCAGTCAATGGCGCAAAAGCTGACAAAAATTACTGATCACGAGGAAGGGCAACGTGGACATTGGCGTTATTTCTACTCCAACGATGTTTTCACGGCTTCGCAAACAAATTTCCGCACCGAACACGCAAAGACAAAGAGAGCGTGCCGAAAACGAAGTTCGAAGCCCTATAGAACGCATGCTAAAGAAATTAAACGTCGACTTTGGACTTTGTCTAAGGACAGGTGGTGCCTCCATCCCCATTTAGCAAATATCAGTGGCGTGATCTGATCAGACTACCTGACTACTACTGGTGACGCGGATGCAGCAGGAGGGGCGCGCAATACGCCCGTCGAGCTGCAGAGCCACCATTAGCTGCGCCAGGCAGTGGTGGAATACCGGTCCCACAGGCCAACTTCCCTGTGACAAGAACCGGCCTGGACGGCTTTCGAGGAGTTTGGACGTTGTTTCCGACCAAGCGATCGGAACAGACTTCGAAAGCCAACTGTGCCACAACGGATGCTCCTACCTTTGTCGTGCATAGTCTGAACGAGACCGCTACCTTGGGTTTGATAGCGCACAAGTAATTTGGAACAAGAGGGACAATTGAGAGCTGGTAGTTGGGCGTCTATTAAATAAATCATCAAGTTGACCTGCCATCAGCCTAGGACACAGTCCACCAGAAATCTAATTAACCACAAGTGGCCAACCGGGGTACAGAAAAAATAACCCATAGGGGACTCGTATCCTCTTTTGTCTTCATCCGACAGGAATACCTTACCGCAGGCCGAGTTGATTCGACAGTTAAGGCCGGATGCAATTAGTCACTGCGCTACCAGTTCCGTCGTAATTTTATGAGCTGTTAGCTGTCATCGGGATGTCAGATGCAAGTGGCACTAAGGCCACAGGTGGGGGTATAGTTGACTAGAAACAATAATCAAGAAATTGGCACTGCAGTCTCCTTTGCTATTGTCGGTAATAATTCAAGAATACAGAAAATCCGGTTTTTAAAACGTCTTGTTTTGCTCCTACTTTAAAAAACTATATGCACTCTGGAGAGAATAGGATATGAGCACGTTGTTGTTGCTTAGACTACCAACTCCGGAACTGGTTACTGCGCTATGACACTCGTAAAAATAAACGAGGTGAGGTGGACTGAAAAGGAGGTAAAAACAGCAAGTTGCGTCATTAAGCTTGCGTGAGGTGAACAAGTTTTTAGTTTCCAGAGGATAGGCTAAATGCGGTCGGGTAGACAAACAACGGCAGTGGTTTTGTCTGAGAAGAGATAAGAAAATTAAGTCGGATTCTGTCATGCTGTGCTTGCAGCAGTAGTCAATAGTAAGGCCGCATAATTTGGGCAAATGTATGTCGTTTGTAAATATGAAAACGTGGCGACAGCCAGTTATGACAGAGAATGCTGGGTCAAGGTATGTAGACGGAATGCTGCAAGTGACCTGCGGCACGCAACGATAGACCGTCCCGGAGGGTAGGGCTCCGGATTGTCGATGGCCATCTATCCATCTGTTCATTGTAATGGCTACTTGTTGTCTTCGGAATCAACATTACAACTTCAGCAGAAGCCCTTGTTGCAGTTTTAAGACCGGCGATTTAGGAGGATGTGTGCGAAGGCTCTCCCAGCAAACATGCGTGGAGAGACTCTTCAGAAGGATCGCAGAAAAGTCTACTTCCTTCCCTCTTGCTTGCCTGTACTTACTATTTCGCACAACTGTGGTCCTGCCTGGTCTAGCTAGACGCGAGCACTGAATAAACAGTTGACATCTATAGGATCCTTATTTGATGCTGCTGTGCCTTGGGAAACCAATTGATCAATACGGTCTTATTCATGTATGAATAAACGCTTGTGCTTGTGGTGTAAAGAACATCTAATGTTACTGAAAATATGAGCGACAATTGCGCTGCTGATCGAAATGGAACAGGGGGGAGAGAAGTGGAGTAGGAGCTGTCGCCTCCACTCCCCCTTCGAACACATAGCCAGGACAGATGACCTAGGGGATCGGCAACGCAATACTAAAGCTAACAACACTCGTAAATATTACGAGGCGCGCTGTCAGCGCCACCTTAGATGACGGTTTGACGGGTTATATCCGTAATTTCTTCGGACATTGAATACAAAAAGGAGGAAAAGATTTTGGAATGTGAAGACTTTATACCACAGGACATCCGGATAACGAGCAGATGGTTCCTGAGCTCGCCTATTTCCATTTATACTAACGCACTCAAATGTGCAGAAGTAAACTATAAGTAGTTCCTGTCTCCTGGTATCGAGCCACCGCATACTTCGGGATACGCTATAAGGTCGCCTGTTTGTGGTACACATCATTAGATATCGAAGTTCCTTTGCTCCGGAAAACCAACTATGTTAAAATGTACCCAGTCCCGCCTAAATAAGTGCTCGGGCGGTATCTTCAGTGATAATAGTTTTGATTTTTACTATACCAATAGAGAATAGAGGAGGAGGGGTGTATGAGTGCTGCGAAAGTCTGACTCACTATAATCCTGCTTATGCGCGAGTCAGCGTTGCGCCCTTAGGACAGAGATGGTCCTCAATGTGAACGACTGATGAAATGCCAAGCACTCAGTCAACTCTCTCAAAGACAGACCGATTAGAAAACACTAGCGAAACTGAAGTTATATGACGCCTGTAGACCAGCTGTGGACGATCTGTGTGTTAGTAGTTCTATCTCAGCTGGTGACATCTGCCATTATTCCAGGAGTTCACAATGGAGCTGCACCGCTGTTGCAATATACCAAGCTGGCTGAAAGGATGCGTCCGTCGAGCTGTGCTTGATCTGCGCGTATGCGTGCGGCGCGAGTCAGATTGAGACTCATCCCACGACCGTCCATGCGCCCAATCTCATCATTAGGCCTGAAGTGTATGGATGAGGCTGGTACAGGTGTATTGCTCTTCATGAGGCTCCAATGCATTTATTACTATAATAGGGATTACGCGCATCATGCTATTGCAGCGGACTAGAAGTCCTGGCTTTGATTGTAAACAGTCGACGGTATAACACTGTTCACCTCTAAAGTAAAGGTCAGACCTCAGTGGCTCCTCCTTATTTCCCCTACAGTGACACCTATCATACAAGATAACACCTTCTCCCCTTTACCCACCCCCGGCCCCCATCAAACGACGCCTGACGCACATGGAGTTTGACGCCAGGTCGTGTATGGCACGCGCAGAGAAGTTGCTAAGCTTTGGAAACCGCTGAATCCACGTCCACCGTTGGTCATATTGACTTTGTCGTATCAACAGAACGTAGTGAGTGTGGGAGGAGTGAAGCAGGTGCAGCACGGTCGGTCTCACTATAAACAAACTGATGCGCCGGTCAAGGCGGCGCTCACCTCCTGTGTGTTGGTGGATCTCGTCGCTGGCGACGGTCCAACTGTTGGATTCGGTGCAGACTTCGACCTCGTCAAAAGAAACGGCGGATAACTAGAGTTACCAAACAAAAGTGTGTAGGCAATCCAGGAAGGGGGCTGAGAAGATAAAGCACTACTAGTGAGAAAAATAGCATTTATTAGCGATCAACACTAGCCTTTTTATCTTGTTTTGGTTAAAGCACCCTAGAAATGTGCTTGCCTCAATTACTGCATATTGGTGTATCACGGGCGGACTTACTGGTTGAGTGTTCCAGTGCCTTGCAAATCCACCAGGTCCCAGATCTTGGCCAATACCAACTGGGGAAGGCGAGAACGCAGAAAAAACTCGCGGACCTCGGCACCGGTCACTAAACCATCCACGTCCTGATCCAGACTGGCAAAGATGGGTGAATATTGAGCTAACTGCGCCGCGGTGATGCTCCATTCAGGCATCGGTGGGGGCGGACCGCCCAGGTAGGCTGGGTTCGGATGCGGAAACTAGAGGTACAGACGCGCACAAGCGGCAGGATTAGGAATACGCGAGCGGGAAAAGTTTGCCGAAGGTCAGCTTACAAGGAGAGGGATAAGGTAGAGACAATCAGCACCAATTCAGGTGCACAAGCCCGACAGGGCACTCAAACAGCGGCCTACAGTACGCATGAAACAGGTCAACATCCAGAAAAAATATGCGATTTACTAGGAATGAGTATTCATGTTCGGTTGCACTAGCAATAACCATGGATTTCACGACAACTCATGCTTGGGGAAGTGCAGGGTGTCGCTGCAAATTCTTCCAGCCGCTTGGGTTGACCCAACTTTGGGAAACAGACCTTTTTATGTAGCATAAACTTCTGGTCAGGAGATGTGGAGTGGAGCGCCAAAGTGCAGACTTAGCCGTGCCATCCACCTGCGCTTCTCCCTATTCCAGTCTTCTTGACTTTGTTTTGACACCGGACTCAGGTGGGGGAGGAGAGAGTGCAGTAGGTGCTTCGCAAGTCTACACTCACTATAAACTTATTCCCGCGCAAGTCACCGGGCCTGCTTCACTTTACTGTGGATCACACGGTGGATATCGTCCGATGCGACGGTCGAACTGTCGGGTGTATTGGGCTGAGCTTTCTTACGCGTGCAGGGGTCCATCATTAAAGGCAATGAGTGCAATAACAGATGGAAGTTTTGCAGTCTACCAATGACGGAGAGGGATAAAAGGCAGTGACCATCACGGTGTGGTGCTGCAGAGGCGACCCACCGTCTCAAAGCGCTATTCACGCGCCACGGGCTCGACTTCCCGAGGACCGGAAATTGGCAAGATCCGACGGTAAGGCGGGGTGGGAAATGCTGGAAGTCTGGGTGTCTGACAGACGCGTTGCTCTACTACCCTGTTATCACGCGCTATGCCCACGCGGTCAGGTGGTGTGGTACAGTTCCCAGCCAAGGGCGCAAACTGTCACCAAACTGTGGGACCGCTGTGAGGTAAGCGATGTAGACCCAGCGCAGTGGGGGGCACCGCTCCCCCCTCCCCTATGGCTTGACTACATGCGTTTACTTAATGTTTCACTCTCATAGTCCCTGATGGAGGGCTCTTGTACGAGTCCGGAAGCTCAGGTTTATAGCCCTATTGTCAAAGTGATTGCACGATCAATCTCCAAACGTAATAGGTTTGTTTGAAGTTCGTGGGCCAGACCTGTCCATTCCGACATGTGCGACTTAAAGTTCACTCAGTAGTCTCCGAAGGGATCTATCAAGTATAATATACCTTGCCTTTATTGCCTACACATGTTCAAATTAAGTATACTAATTTTCTTCAAAAGGGCATTCATAGGCCGCACTTTTTCTACAGTCATTGTGAAGTCTCTGAAAAGGAATGCAAAGGGGAAAAAGGATGATGACCGAAGGGGATTTTGAGGGAAGGGGGGAGGGGAGGATCAGGAGACAGAAGGCTTGAAGGAGGATGGTGGGACGAGAGTAGACATGCGAAGGGGTTGGAAAGGGCATGCAAAGCCCGTGGAAAAACAAGGCGGAAAGGTGGGAGCAAAATGAACAGGACAGGAGTTCGCCGACATCTAGCGGGCCGCTCAGCCAAAACGTTACCGCCAAGCAAGGGACCAGGGGGAAATAAAAATTCAAAAGGTATGCAACAAACACGTACCGCTGACGAAGGGGATTTATAGGGGCTGGGCGAGAAGATGGCGATGCTGTTGAAGTCCGTGGAGGCCATTGGGGGTGGCATCAGGGCGAGAGGCTCTGAGGCGGCGCCCCTCTTATTGGGTGGGATGAGACTTGTGGGAAGTACGCTCGGAATCGCGTCACCTTCCAGGCGGCGACACACCAAGTGCATCGTCTAGTACAGTGGGAGGAAGTGTATTCGAACTAGAGTGAGCGACATAACTAACGAAACATGGGGACCAAAAGTTAGATGATCAGTGGGAGGGGGAAAGCTGTCGACTGTTGCCAATTGTAGGTACTAATTTAACGTGATACGAAAGAAGTCCTTCATTCAGGCAGATATTTCATTTTGGGAGATCCATGGAGAGACTCTATTTGCTAGTAAGTGCTTTTGCGCGTTTGCGCGCACCAGTCCATGAGAACGCATTAGTCTAGGCGAAAAATGGCCATGTAAACAGTCGGTGCGGACTTCATCAAACTCTAAATTCTGGCTGCGTGAGATGGAAATCATTTCATTTTCACGATGACAGCAGCGTTTTCGGTACGACTGGCTGACGGCGACAAAGAGACCACAAATGGATCTCCTACTGGTCCTGCCTTCCTCAGTAAAGGCACCCAAAGTATCAGGGATAATTATCAGTCATCAATGAACATTTCGGAAGTAGTCCTACCATTACATGGTGGGTTTGATGATGGTAGTGTTGTGGGTGGTAGACAGGGGGAACGGGTGCTGCATGACTCACATGAGGAATATTACGGTCCGCGTGGAAGTACACATGATAGTGGAATGGGCTAGAAGTCGAGCAGAGATGTTATTAAATGATGGCCAAAATGATTTGAGTTTCACTCAGGATCATTTGTTTACGATATTTCTGGCCTTACTTTGGAAGACGTAAAAGTTGGCTTCCATTCAGGAAATAGTTCAACAAAGGTTGTTCTAACTCCAAACTGTACTGAAGAACGTTCTTACGCAATGATCATCACAAGTCGATGCTATGCAATTACACATTCTCCGACCATGAGACGTCATGCCTATGCAATCTCACAAATACGGCCGAAGAAGTCAACTATCGGAAAGATTATCTGAAGACAAACTCAATCGGCAAATGTTGTCGGCAGCCACAACACACCAACAGCGCCTCCTCTGGCAATTAGCAGTGTTAGACTCGACGTCCTCATCTGTCACCGGAAGAAAAACATAAACTCTGATCATTGGCTGATAGAAGCATGCCAATGGTTGCAGTCGCTATGAGTGCTGCAGTTTTTAATTGGCCACCAGGCTTTCCGCGTGTGGTCTCAAAGTGGCTTTTCCCTGCGATCTCGCTGATCGGACGATCAAGATCTTCTTGGCCTATGTTAACTGAAACGAGTAGACTCTAAAACACCTTATACGTGAAATCGAATTCCATTACGCCTGAAAAACCTGTTCAGAATCGAACTGTTGGCTGAATGCCATACTACATGTTACATCTGCCTATGGTGAACAATCAAATGTCGAAGTTAAACAATATAATTGTTAGTAAGGCAACTTTCCATGCATAAACATGCAAATAAACTTGAACAGCAACGGCAGCGTAGCGGCAGAAGCATGCACTTAATTCTGACAAAAACGCTTATAGCAACATACTACTTCCTTTGAGAGAAGATTATGATTTCTTTCAACAATCTGGCATGTTTCCCCCTACAGTACGTGACCAATCTCATAAAATCTGATAACGGAATCTGATGGCAGAATTTCTTGACTCCTTTAATGTTGCGCATTTTGGTCGCTCATCCACATCCTTCAATAGTATGTCCTTTTCTTGTTCAGAAATTGCGTTTACGTAATTATATCAAGTAAAATATCAGTAGACCTTAGCGAAAATGGACGTTGGATTATATTCGTGCAATTTCCTATGCTAATACATGTCCTAGGCTCCGGTTACGCATCTGAGCCACTTTTTCATTAAAAGGATAGCAAGTTACCCGCGAGAGTTTTAATAAACAGATTTAGCCGAACTTGAAAATTTATTTTATGTCCGATGTTAACCATGGCGATCATTCTGCTAAGGCCAAAGTTATTTTAAGAAAACTAGAGGTTTTACAAATTTCTAAATGTCAGATTAGCAGATCTGTGAGATTTGATGCTCAAAAGTGCAGTAATAACGCAGATAGGGATTCCTTCGTTTAAGTGGGCTGAAATTGTTTTGCCGTTTGGAAAATTCTACCTGATGTCACATAGATGACCACCACGGGATGGTCATCTCCAGCGTTGAACATATGAAACACTACTTTTCGTGTAGTTTAGTTTCTGTGCATATCTTATTCAGAAATAGGACGAGCGAAACATTTATAGTTTCAGCAAAATATCAGTATTTATATGGGCGCTCTGCCGTGTATTCACAATCGAAGAACGGAGTCTTGGAACAATTCGTTTATCTGTCTGGCTTCGAAAACTTTGCCAGTCTGAAGAAACACTGTAGCTATTTGATGTTTCCATTTTCAATTTTCGATATAGTTCGCTTCCTTGTAACAAATAGGGAGTTCAAAGGTTCAACACCTATATTTCCCTCAAATAAACTGAACTGAACTGAAAAAAAAACAGTGGAAATGGTCTCAATATATAGAAAAAGGCGTGTTCTTACGTTCACGGTAGAAAAATATTAGTATTGTTTAGGAACCTAAGAGAAACGGCCAAGTGTTGAATTTTTACTTGGCCTCGCCGTGCAAAAATGCAAAGTACACAGAGATCCGTCAACGTTGTGCAGTAATAAAGCACTTTTTAAAGAGGTAATTCATAAAGGAAATTTTTCTTATTGATCGAAGATATATTCGTTGCTGACTTTCACGGCGGACAGCCATTTTCCTCGAAAATGAAGTTTTATGTTTGAATGAGTTTTCACATATGACCCAATCGACCTTCTTCGTGAAAAGAGGCGCCCGAACACTCACTTATTCGGTGAATGCCTTCAAGAATGATCTTATTTTAAAGTTCTCAACAGACAGATAATTCAGAATCTGTCTTTATGGAAGATCGGGTGAAAACACTGAAAATCATGAAGTATTCAGCAACACTTCGAGGCCGATCAGAAACTCAACGTAATCCAAAACGAAGGAAAAATGTAAATTAATTTAATGGAAGAAAATTCCTCTCTATAAACACAAAATGGTATGTTTAAGATCACGCCTGTCAGTTCTATTTAAAGTTATTAGGCACCGACCGGCCTCATGGCATGTCACCTTATGAAAACCTTTGTTCCTTCGACGTCCCCATCGGCGAAATCAAGCAAAATCCAGTTTCTCTTGTTGAATCTCACCTCATTTAACCGAAGAGACCCATGGATAACACAAAAAGCTGGAAAACGGTTTGGGAATCTACACTCGGAATGTAGGCAGTTGACAAACCGTCATATACGAAATCATACTACTTATTAAACGATATTTAGATGTAAACTTCACTAAAACACTGTTATTAGACGTTATTTTATGTATACATTCATATTTACTAAGCTTTTGGTATGAGAATACATTCTATATATCTATAAACGAACTTTACTTAATTAGAGCCCTCTCTGGCGTTTTCGGGATATTGGGCTTTTCTAGAGAAATCGGCATTTCTAAAAAACGCAACACTGCCTATAATATTTCTTTTATGTTTTTAATTCTTTTAAACTTGTACTTAATTAAAATAGACACTGGACTCATGAAATGGTGTCGGTTTGCGAGTGATTGGCAGTCGTTCGTAAATTTAGACACATTTGATGAGTTAGGTCACTAACTGTAACTTTGATCCATTTCCTAATTCTGCGTTTTTATCGATGTGATAGAGCCACTATCCGAGTTATTCGCGATTTTTAGCGGAGTCTCAGATACCTTGTGAGTTTAAGCGTCTACTGCAACTGCTGTCCAGTAATCTCCTGAACACAGAATTCGGCAGTCCTGCAGGCGATGGAACGAAAGGAGCAAACGTGGCAAAAAAGAGGCGACACAAAACAGGACAACTGCCGAAAATCGTGCGGAAAGTGCTCGCATGCACCCAATCTGCTAATCACTTCCGGATTATGGTCTCCACTGGCATCAGAATAGTTCTGCAGAAATTGAAAAAAACCCTTCTGTTTTTAGAGGCGCACTCACTTGTGTGCACCCGTAAAACATTATCCGTGACGGTCGGCCACCAAATATGCTACGATAGGAGTACATCTTTGAGGTCACCTACGTGACGGACAGGACGCGCAACCTCGCGGCGGCAGATGGCCTCGAAATTGCAGTAGGTTTATTACAAATGCCTACTTTGCTGCTGGCAAGTTCAGCCATCTTCATCATTCACAGCATATCCGCGTTTATAAGCCATGAGCGAAAATAAGGATTTTGAGTGGATGGTGTATTTGTCTGAGCAGACTTAGTAGGAGGGAGAATAATGTGTGTCATGGAAAAAGGCTGACAAGGGCGGAAAAGCGGTGCGGTGTCGCAGGAAACTGATAAAATCAGAGAAAAACCATGGAGTAGTAACGGCGATGTGTGTGTGTGCGCGTATGGGACCTTAAAAAGGGGTCACGCAATGGATGCGGTGAACGAACACATTGACTAGATCGGAGTCTGGCAGGCGTTATCGGAAATGCGCACCCATAACAAATTTCAACATTGGGGGGAGGGGGGGGTGTGGTGGCAGGCCGAGGTGGGGGTTTCAGCCATGTCAGTCTTCTGCATCCTCCCTCACGTCCGGTCTTCATGACTCTTTCTTGACATCGGATCAAGGTGGGGAGAGAAGCAAGCGCGGTAGACGCTGTGAAAGTCTGCCATCAATATAAACTAACCTACTCGCAAGTCGCCGGCCCTGCCCTCACCCTGTTGTGGAGCACACGGTGGACATGGCCGGCAACGACGGTCAAAAGTCGTACGTGTGTGTGAGAGAGAGGGAGATGAGTCAGTCAGCTTGATTCGCAAAAATAACTGGCTTACAGCAGCGAAAGCTACGTCAATCCAGGGAAGTAGGCGATCAGGTCATGTACGAAACGGGCGGATGCCACGTTTGTGTCTATTCCTGGTCGTCCATAGTGAGTGTGGGATTGATGCATCGAAGGTTTACTTCACTATAAGCAAATGTGTGCGCGTTTCATAATTGGGGTACTTTCGATGATTAGCCACATCACCTATTCACATCCGTTTTCTGGAGAAACGCAATCGCCTACTACCGGATTTCAGGTTGTAAATATGGGTATCGCACTACCAGATAGGGTCGCCGAAAGTTCCTGTGCAGACATAGAGCGCTCCCAATTACAGACGGTTGTGAAGACAACTAAAGTGGGCCAAAGGATTTGTTTTCGTAAAATGAAGGCGAGTACCTTGGGTTTGGCGTCCAGAAATATCTCACGTGGTGTTCCTGCGTTAGTGGACATGTTCTGCTACATCAAATCAACTGATGAATACGGCACTCACTTTGTCTCATTGAACTCTTGACCAAACTGACAGCTTACGAGATTTCTATCCGGGCACTCCGGAGATACTCGCGGCCCGAAGTTCACAATCGACGGTGGCGTGGCTGTTAAAGCCATGGGAAGAACTTAACTTAACCACTGTGGGCTTGGAGACAAGTCTCAGGGTGTAAGACGGGCTGGACGCCGGTATAGATGGTAGTGCATTCTGTACGGAATGAATGGAAAATGGATTTGACCAACATGACAGCCGGACAAGAGGCACACGTCCGGCGTCGCTAGGGCAGGTGTCCGGGTGCCTTGAGCGCGGGCGTCTGCTTCAGTCTTAAAGTTGATTGCCAGTTTGGATAGATGTGATTGGACAAAAACGCGACCGCCGCTGCTGCATAGTTCGACCGTCATTTCTGACGATGTCCACCATGTGCTCCACAACAAGGTGGAGCAGGCACGGTGACTTGTGCGTGAATTAGTTTATAGTGGGAGTAGACCTGCACAGCATCTACCGCAAGTTCTCCTCTTCCCACGCCTGGGCTCGGTGTCAAGACAGAGTCGAGAAGACCGGAGGTGAGGGGGGGGGCGCAGGTGGATGGCACGGTCGAATCCGCACCTCGACGCTCCACTCCACACCCCCTGGTCCATACAGCAAATGACCAGGATTTTAACCAACAACAGAAATGGGGGAAGGGCGGCAGGGGTCCCAGTGTGCGCGACGTCAGCCGGCAACTGGGTCTGGCACGGCACCCCGAATGTTGGCATTTGTTATGGTGCGCATTCCGAAAACACCTGTCAGAATCCGATATGGCTCCCGTGTTGGTCCAGCGCATCTATCACGTGGCCCGTTTGGGGGGGCACTGCTGCTACAAAAAAGCGTCAAAAGCGTTGTTGCAGAGGGCACCCGGATTGGCGTCACCACCATGCTGCTCGCGATCCGTCCTCTGAGTTCGTTTCACGACCACAATTTCAAAAAAAAAACTAGTTATTGAGTCGGTCCCGAAAACAGCTTGTCAACTCTGCCTGTGATATTGGTTAATTCGGATGACTTAAGCTTGTGCTGGGCGATCTGCAACAGGAAATCGTTCGAAATACCACCCACCTCTCGCAGGGGCCTCGCTAACGATGTGGCCGAGGTGACCAACTGAAAGTCGTGGGTGCATCGGTGAACTGGAACAACTCGGGTCCTGCAGTCTCTGGGGCTGACCTACCAACTAGCTCAACTTCACTCGGTATTTTCCCGTCAACCAATCGCCATTAAAAGGCATACTCGCACACGGCGCACCACATGGAGAAAAAAGCTGAAGGTGATAAGCTGCGTTGGTGGCGCTGATGGGCTATTCTACTGGTCTATTTTTACTTTCTCTTATAATTTCAGAGTAGCAGCGCGCAGCATGTGCATCGTGTAAAATCCCGCCGTCTACTGAGCTGGGAGAGGGTGTTCATTTTTAGGTGATTCATGTTTTTAATCGAGGAATGTCTGTATATAAAGCCACAGTATTCCAAGCAAAAGTCTGCTCACGCATCGTAACAGGCAGGCTCTCAAATGGAAATCGGGTAGTTGAAAGATCCTGGTTTGCAGTGAAAGTTAGCATAGTTTGGCTTTTCTTCAGCTGCCCATTGGTGTGATAACAGATATAACCGTTCTTATTCCTTTTGTAGGGCGTATTACGCAGGCTACAATATTCGCATATAATTGAAATAAGGGGCATGCTTTCTCGGCAAGACGGGTAGAGCGTGGACTAGGAGCATTCTCGAGCAAACACCTCGAGGAGGGCTACAATGACATATTCCGGTTTCTAAGTGTAAAATTACAATCAGATATTATCTGGTATATGAAGTCTTCTAGCAAACCACCTCCGGAAACCCAAAAAGACATCAAACAGCTAACATAAACCAAGAAAAAAATATGCGAATTGGACAACAGTGAGGTTCGAAGTACACCGTACTTGGTAGCCGGCATGTTGTGGCATACGAACCAGTTTGATCCTCTGTTCTGTACTCATTACTTAAATCCTGCGAGACTGAGATAGCTTATTGGCCGAATAACGTACATGCTCAAGGACATAGGAAACCTTGTGGTTCCGAAGTCATAAACAGTCAAAACTGATAATCGAAGAAAAGTCAAATGAAGAGATACCGCACCGCACAGTCCAAAACAACAGCGACAAGAAGTCTTCACACAGCAAACTCTCAATAAGCTGGTAAAACGATTGGCAAGTTTACTGAGAAAGGAAGCAGACTTGAATGATCATTTCACGCTTATCCCCCGCCCTCAACTAGCCACACCCCAACTCCGGTCAGGGAGGACCCGCGGTTTGAGCTGTGCTCAAGTGCTATTGAACACTCCGTCAATGAACCATATGTCCACATTCTTCGCTGCAGAACGGAATGCACGCCTGTCCTGTTCGGCCTTTACGCCTGTTCTGTCGTTAACTGCGGCCAGGAAAGAGCATCCCTCGGTATACATGGCTGTCAACCTGAAGAATTAGATGACTTTAAATACCTCGGGGTGAGGCTGATATCAAACGGACGGAGTACGGACGACATCGTTTCTCGAATTGATGACACCCTTAGGGTTTTCACAACCCTTACAAAGTGCCTGTGGACCTGACGCGACATCTCCATCGCTACAAAGAACGGCGTTTACTGCGTATCTGTCTACTCAGTCTTTTTATACTGTTGTGAGCGCTGAGATGTGGGCGTGGAGGATGAACGAAAACCGGAGTTATTCGACCACCGCTGCCTGAGGACCATGCCTCGTGTTCGGTACATCGACTTTATTTCAAAGTAAGCAGCACTTGCTTAGACGATATCGCAAGGATATCGCCCCGCTAAATACAGGCCCCAGCGACGAACGCAGATGCTGCTGACAGCAGGCATGCAATGGCACGGCAACTACGTTCTATAAATACCGCAATCCCTGTGCCTTCATTACTCTTATCTTCGACTGCCCCTGGTGATGGTTTAAAGTGAGAATCCGGAGCGTCAGGCCGATCTCATCTTCCCCCGAAGTACTCTCCAGAACTCGCCTATTCGATTCTATTTTTCAGTAACCGCATACTACTTCCAGTACTATTTTGTACTTTCTCTCCACTAAAGGCCGTCTACTTTTCAGTTGCGTATTTCGGTAGACGAATCGTGGGCGCGGGTTCGGGAATTTTCGTAAGGATTGGCATGTTTGACGAGGCTCGCCACCTCTTTCAAACATTCGAAGGAAATGGCCGTGCAGTTGTATTACGCAAATAAAAAGGAACAGTGGAAATGATTTACCAAAATCATAGGAGCCCCGTCTTATCTGCACCTTCATCAAAACTCAATATGCCAGTAGGTTAACAACCAAAATCTCCCCGAGCAGTCTTCTTTATCTAATGACTGGACAAGTGTGCGAATAGGTATAGTATACTGTGGCACTGTTTATGACAGTATCTTCCTCTAGCGCCTGGCAGTAAAGAGGATACTTCGATGAAACATCAACCTAAATCCTGCTGGAAACTTTCTCCATGGCTCTACAGCATACAGAAAACTACTTCGGGCCAAGCATCAGGCTTTTAGATACTTGATACGATGAAGGATTCTAGCCAATACAGTACAAAATACCCAGTGCATGATGCAATCGGCAACTGACCAGTATGAATTCGAACCGGTCCAACGAGCCATCCCGATCGAGATCAGAAAGGTCCCATATTTTGCGCAGATCGTCCACCGGAATTTTGGTATCTCTCAAAAGCTAAACGACAGATGAATTATTCGATTAAGAATGCGGCAGGGCTGACAGAAAAGGAAAAAAAATAAAAAATGATGATTTCATAAAAGGACCGGCCTGTAGGAGCTGAAGTGTGCAAAACAACAAGACGTTGATCCAGGGCGACAGGCCGCGGCTGAAGACGGAAGCTGCTTACTGGCCTAGCTACGCGACACCCGCCACGTCTGTAGGCGGGCCCTTAGTTAACTGTAAAGTCATCAGGATCTCCAGTATGACATAAAAACACTCAAGTAGTATGTGCTGGTAAAAACTTCAGGTGTGGGTGGGCACTGATCTAACGAGCTGGTTGCATAGCTAGAATAGTCCAAGTGGTAGTGATGCTGCGGCATGGTGAATGTCGTGTCAAAGAATAAGACCACGCCAGCTGTCATCTGGCACAATCTCGAAATCTTAAACTAGTGTGCTAGCGAGGTGGATGGAGACGTCTATCTTGAAAGTTAGGTACTGCAGGAAAAAGCCTTCCACTGTTTGGCAAGCAACTTGACCGCATTTCTGGATGACCGGTGGGTCATCGTTCGCACGCTCTGGCTGAGCTTGCAAAGAACATGTTGACAGTGTTGCTTGTAATATCTCCCTCGGGTAGCTGGAGCCGTGGTGCCGCCGAGAGAATGGGGTCAAGAATGGAACCGTCCATGTAATCTAAACACGGTAGTTCGACCCTCATGACCGACGATGTCCAACGTGTGCTCCACAGTAGGATGAGAGCAGGGACAGCGACTTACGTTGAGTTAGTTCAAAGAGAAAGAAGACTTTCGCAGCATCTACCACACTCTCACCTCCTCTCTCACCAGAGCCCTGTGTCAGGAGATAGAGTCAAGAAGGCCGGCGACAGAGAGGACGCAGGTGGCTGGCACGGCGAAAACCCACACCTAGGCGTGCCACCACACCCTCTGGCTCATAAAGTACACTGACCAGGATTTTACATTACAAGAGTAAAGGAAGGGCAACACGGATCCCAAATGGCACGGCATGCGCTTGCAACTGGACATGCTGACACACCCCCCATGTTAGCATATGTTACGGGTGCGCATTTCCGATAACGCCTGCCGGACCCCGATCTAGCCCCTGTGCTGATCCAGCGCATCTACCTCGTGGCCCGTTTTAGGGGTCCTGCAAGCTCGACAAGAAATGCGATCACGTGTATCCACCACACAGAGGTGGTTGAGCCATTTAGGTGGGCCGCCCATTAGAATCCGAGTACTCATGCGACATTTTCCTGGGTCCTTAAGACGCCGTGCTATAGTTAGATTTCGCGCACTTTCGTTAAGATGATTCCTTAGATGAAACTAGCCTGAGCAGACTACAACGTCTACGAAAATAAAAAAAAATTAACGTTGCAGTCACTGCAAATGCACTTCAGAACGGGTTGAACGTTTTCAGCTTTCGCATTGTTGTTAGGTCCGATGAAAAAATAGGTTGCCGAGTCAACAGATGACGGACGGTCAGATGTCCGTTTCCATGGCAAAAGGAAAAACGCCCTTAAACGCTCAGACAACCGTCAAGTTCGCTTATAAATATTCGAGGAGTGCAGCGTTTTGATGAATTAGTGTGCAAAACGTACTGACATGCTGGGAATGTAATTTGTTTAATGAAACACAGGGGCTCTTCTCACGCAATGACTTCTGCCAGGCTAAATTCAAATGCTGACTTCTAAATCCAATCCTCCTAACCAGGTAGCGAACCGGGAATGAAGCCCTACAGCTCTCGTTATCATGCCACTCTTGTCGTAATCCACTCCGAATACATTAGGTCAACCCCGTTAAGGAATTTTAGAAGTGCCGTGAATATGCAAAACCGCCTGCATTCCAATTACCTTCAGGTGGTCAGGTGCACACCCTTGCCTGGGACAGAACACGCGTTCTTGACATCTGCCAGTTCAAAAAATGCCGAGAATCTCTTGAGGCCATACACTCAAATCAACTATACGGCAATCGGCATGTTGGTTTGGATACTCTGCGCGAAAATCTCAGGGTCAAGTGGAGTAGACGACAACCAAATCTAACGGGGGACGAGACGCTGCGTGCATTGATTAAACGTAGACGTTGTACAATCACGAATGTTATGGATGTCTTTGAAAAGTTTGCTGTTTTGCACATCTGCGGCTCATCTGACAGTTTTAAACGCTAGTCGGCATGCCAACAACTGGCAACGTGGCGCACTCAAACGGCGAGTTCTTCAGCAGGCAATAGAAGCATTTTTAGGTTTTTGTTTCGTAGTCGGGTCTTTTTTATTGATTTTGCCTACCAAGATGTCTCAACTAATCTGACGATGCTGTTTGCTGGCGCCATTGTTGGGCTGCCTTCATAAGAAACATCGGGGGGCTTAGATGCCATGGCCTTGCTAATGTATCCCTTCTTGAGTTGGAAATGTTTCGGAAATCAGGAGAAATAACGACAGTCGACTCTCAAAAGACAAAACCCAAGGGTACTGAGAACGCACCCCCTTCTGAGTTTTTGCGAGTTTACAGGACAGGACTGTCTCCATGAAAGGAACACATGTGGTTTCGCTGCGGGATTAGTTGAGTGCCCGAAGTTTCTGGCAAAGAGTCGTGCGACACCTACCCACTCAGTGCAATAATTCCTAGTAACGCAAGAAAAAAGGTGACTGGCTTTTTAGGAGGCATCACTTTTCTCTAAAATCACGCGGTATCCCGCAGTTTAAACCGTACATGCCCAGCTAGAAGGACGTCACAGTGATGCGAAAAGCAACCTAAAAAGTGGAAATATCAATAGTACCCTTTAAACACTGTTTGACCTCTATTTGCATTCGACCACGTTTGATTTTAACAAGCCAGAGGTGTCGCCGTTATCCGCCACCATTGACTAAACGGTGTTATTGTGAGCAGAAGCAATGTCCTCCGACCACTATCTACAGAAATTGTGGATTCGGTATGCAGATGACATACACCCACAGCACCGGCCATAACTGTCCGCAATGCCCACGCAAATTCACTAGCCGCGGGTGCTTATTCGGTCACATTTGCATCCATGGCAGCAGAATTCACGCAATATCGACATGCTAAACATACCTTGCACATCTGATAAACTCTCCCATCTCCAGTACTACTAACTCCCACTCCACCAATGTCGTTGCCACTAGCAGCATCACCACCGCAACCGACTCAGCAGCTCCCAACCTATCTTGCCTGTATTGCCACCGTACATGCACATTACGCATTGATCTGGTCAGTCCGAGGAACCAACGCCTGGAGCATTAGCATACACCCACCGCACTCGTCTCAACTGCCTACGCTGTCCACACACATTTATTCAATGCACGGGTCTTCTAGGGCCACCTGTACAACCATGAAGGCCTGCGGTAAAATACCCCCAGTCAAACCCCATCACCATATATGTCACCGACACATACCACACACGGATCCGTCCCTCATCTTTCACCGTGAACATGGAAACGACACCTCTCATGCAAGTCGGAGCCTCGTTACTTGTTTCAAGAGTGGACTGGTTTGGCTACGACTCTAGAGGCTATAACTCGTCCATCACAAGCGAAAAGGTATACCACTTTCCCTGAGAAAGACCAGTGGTTAGTTGAGCTTAAATTCGTTTATAATAAAGCAGACGTCCCTCACATCTGCCTCACGGTCATCTCCCGCGTCCACCACATCGAAGACTGACAAAGCTAACTGCCCTTTTACGCATGGTATTTATGTGCCGGTTTCTCACTCCACATGGAGTAGTTTTTGAGGAAGCCGGCTTGTTACAAAAACCATGTAAAGAAGAGACCATGAGAGTCTAACCGAGAGGACAAGGTTACCTTGTCATCCGTCGACACTTCGCTTCACGATTTTTAGTCTCTCCCTAGAGTTTGAGAAGCGTTAGACGTACCGTAGTGAGGAGTGCGCCGAATCGCCATGAGAAGGTGGCGTGCTCCAGAGTTGACCTCGTACTTTCCTTCGTTTTCCATGCTCCAGGGGTCTACCCGAGTCTGTCGCTCGACTGATTCGATTGGACAAAATGATTATCATAGCGTGAAGCGCCATCTGAAACGTGCCACACGAACGCACCACAAACGTTGAGGGTTCGTGTAGACGCAGCACTGCCGGAAAAACGACATGAATCAATGCGGCTCCTGCCTTGATCTAATCCTATGACAGCGTAGCGCATTTAGGAGGTTTGATCCTAGCAGCTCTCTCGGCGCCTAAGTTAGTTTCGGTGACGACTATATCAAAAACCTGGGATAACATCCTCGGAGGATGATTGATCGCCAAAAAGAGCGACCAAAATAAACGGTGGAATAAAGCTACACCAGGGATTCAATGCCTTGGCCAGCGGCTACGACTAGTGAAACCTAAAAACCGTCTATGTCAAGTCCTGAACTAGCTGTCGACGCTTTACGTGTAAGTGAATATGGTGGAGGGTGGCTGACATAAGCGGCCGTTTGATAAGTGTCGCAAACTCTCTGGAGATTTCATTCATAAAATCAGGATACTGGTTTCCCGAACTTACTGAAACTGCCTAGCGTCTAAAAGCTGGTGGGCTACGAAAGCATTGAGACCAGCGATGTGCGCTAGGATGAGTGTACGGGACAGAGTGAGCGCGGACCAGAAGTCACAATTTCATAAGATCATTTGCAGCTCAGAACAGCGCTCAACTGTTTGCGAGAGAGCCACTACTAGACACCCTACTTTCCTTGCCGCATCTGCATCTACGAGGACCTAATTGTTCTCACTTCGTTTTGGACCAGCACTTACGAGTGCTGAAAACTTCAAAGCGCTTGTGGTGGTTGTGGTCTTCTTGTTCCTCAAAGTTGATCCCTTCGTTCTACGTATAAAGTGGAATATCAGATGCATGGACAATAGGTCGCGAGTCCTGGAACCAGGTCGCTAGGTTAGCTCGTTATGCAGAGAAACCTAGCAGTGAGAATAATTATGTTCAAAAATTCAAATAAGTTAGTGTGCCCGACCTTTCGGATTCATATCAAAATTCATTCTTAGCTACAAAATCAAGGAAATAGGCATCCCTGAAACTCGCCGCCTCATGAATCGGTAATCTCAGCACTGACAGAAAAACCAGATAAAAAATATAGAATCGACTGTATAAATACAACTTGGCAGTAAAACTCACTGGAATGGAAAATAATGAAGATCTGGCCTACATTGTGAGGATTTACGATCGGTGTGATTGTGGGAGACGAATCACTTAATCCAACTCCCTTGTTACCGAACGCAGAATTAAGTGATTAGCCCGTCGACGCTTTCGCCCCAATAATTCTGCCGTTAATACTAAGAGGGGGACAGAGCAGGCTGGGATAAACGTAGGCTACACAATCGACCCGAAACTCAAGAGTAGTCAGATAAATACAAGTTTTACTCAAAAAATGAGCCGAGATCAACAAAACTGCATAGGCACAATCATCACCGGCAGATGTCGTAGCTCAGAGGACTGTTTTGAGGACAGCGGGAAGCGAAGTTGGCAAACAAGCGGTAAGACTCGACTCGGCACAGTAACGGCTTGGGTAGGCTTAATCGTTAGGGACGTCAAACCGCGGGGGCACTTTCCCGATTGTCTTTCTAAATTATTTAATTATGAGCATTCGTGAACACCAAGTAATGCCTTACGAACTAGGGCCTTTGGTGGCACACGGCACTGTGATGGACCCGCCTTTAATTCTATCCCATAGTTTCTCCATGAGTGTCCGTAGAACAGGGGAGCGTGACGCATGTGCTGCGACTGACGGCCTGGGACAACCAGTGGGTTAGACGTAGAATATGCACTGTCCCAATTCAATATGGAAAGGAATCCAGTGTTCTTTGAAAAAAAAACACGGAACACTCTTGGAACGCGATCACTATTTCTGACGATTCTAAACACTTCAGGCCGACGTTTCTGTGGCTTGCCCGTCTAAAATTGTAGCTTGTGCAGACGTGGCGTCACAACCAGAGAACAGGGTTTAGATGGCGCAAGAATCTGTTCGTGTCATGTTCACACTGAGTAGTGCTCGCAATGCAATACAGATACTGGTTATGTACCAGTACTCAAGGCAGATGGTAACTGAGGCAAAGTGCCCTTCGGCAGCTCGAAACAAATCAGATTCTCAATTCCGTCTCATACAATCAACGCTGTGGCGTGCGACTGGGAAGACAGCGGCATGACAGCGGGACTCGGACGTCGACCGCTGAAAAGTGAACGGTTACTTAACTGAGGCCCGACCGCTAATAGAAATCACATCACACTCGAGTTTAAAGATTGAATATGAGCCGAGAGAGGTCAACATCTGGATGAGTGTCGAACGCCCGAATGATAAGAAAGCAAGATTTTCGGCACTGCGCCGTCAAAGCGCGGTGGAAGATCTGGAGAGATATTAAGAAGATAAAAACTTCTAATCGAAATACTCTGCACCACAGTGACACAAAAGCTATATCTCTTTACTCCAACCTTCACTTGAGAGCTAACACCTGTAAGCGGCTAGCTAAAATCGCAGTATCCGCTGGCAACTGCACTTCCGCTGTTATCTGCTGCAGGAATGCTAGCGGTAGATACGCGCCTTTCGGAAAAACCGTGAGTCCATTTAGGTACTTGACAAATGAAGACTTCATTTTTCCAATGGAGCGGGTAGCAACATATGATATGAAGGTAAGCTTGGGTAATATGGCTGACAAATACGACTAGATGAAGCTCTTAGAGGATAAGATCGAAATAAAAGCCTCCCCACTTGTCTGTTACGCTTCCAACGAGGCCCTCCCGAAACAATTATTACTTAAAGTAGCCCAGGGCACAGCAACACAAGCTCCTTCATTATCTCTGAACCTGCTGAGGCACGAACACCACTCGACCACTCTCATCTGGGGAGGGGGGGGACATCGATTTTTGTCGCATCTTTACGGAGTGAAGTCAGTTCGACCACTTGCTTTGGTTGCGACTTCAAGCCGCAGAGGGAAGTTATGTTGAAGAAAAGCTCCTCCGTCAGCTGATACTCATGGAAGGGCAACCAGTCTAGCGATTGTTTATGTACGATGTCTGGACGTCGATAATCGAGTTGACACGGATTCCGTGACAGCAAAGTCAAAAATGTCATTAAGTTATATTCACCACCGTTTCTTCCTAACTTCTACAGCACGCCCAGATCCGACTTAAAAGTGTTCTAACGCTCCCAACTTGGGTCCACGGGTACAGCGACTTCTACGAGGTAGGAAAGACCGGACAGCAACGCTTGAACGCCTGATAAGTCAGTCACAATGCCTACTTTTCAGACAGCTGCACTATTGGAGATTCGAAAGAGTGGATGGCCAAACGAGTTAGGTGCATTTGTCGTCCTACAGATGGATGCTACTCGCGGAGTTTAGCTAAAAACGGTATCCTAATAAAAATGACCAACTGCTCTCCCGGGACATCAAAAGATGGATAAACGCCCAACAGGAAGAACGAAATTGGTACTCACAATCTGGGATAGCTACTAAAGAGATCTCTAAGTGCAGTTTGTAGAGTATGAAACGATTCTTGCCTAATTAGACATACTCGATAAACGGTAATGACACTTCTAATTCTAACCTTGCTCATCACAGCTCCAGATATTTTGTCGTTTGTATGTTCCATACTTTCAAACATCGACTCATATTTCTTAATATATTCGGCCGGTATAGCCCAATCTACCGACGACCCGTCCATTCCGGGAGCCAATGGCAAATCAGCAGGCGTTCAAGGGTTGCGGTCAAGCGAATTGTCGATTAAAATAATGAGCCCGTGAGGTCAAATTTATAAAAGATTAAGCTGTTCGGAGTACTTTTTCTAAATTCCCGGGCACAAAGTAAAATGTTAGAGGCCGTTTCGGGCAAAAAAAAGACGCATGTAAGGGTGAGCATAGCATATCAAGAAAGCCCGAAAAAACTCATTGAAGAGGAGGCCAGTCTCCGTTTCAAACGTAGCTAGTAGACTAGAGGATGTAAAACCACAAAGCAGCTGCCATTACTAGTAGTGCGATGCGACTAGGACAAGGATTAGATTACCGGAGACCGTCTCACCGGTCTCATCTTGTCCCCCATCCCGCACGTACTAGGTTACAGAAAGCTAGGTCTCACATCCTACGTGTGAGGATATGCCATACGTGCCATAGAATTAAGGAACCATTTATGATCGTTTTTCGGCACCGAGAAAGAGCCCGTTCCCCTGGCATTGTCAACTTTCTTAGTCACGCGCTCTTAGCGCGTCGTAGTAGATCCATGCCAATCATGTTCGTTATTATGAAGGAGCCGTTATCTTGCTACACACACCCTTTCCCTTGTCGGACACTAAGGACCTGACTAAGCCAGTTTGATCGAGAATGATAATTCGGAACAACGACTGACAAAATCATAACAAATCCTATTCGTATGTTACACAAAACCAGTTTCACGCTCCCGTTAGGTGGGCTACCTAAGAGAAATTGCCCCCAACTTGATTGAGATGTAAATATACTTTTATGGGGCGTCCCTTCTGTCTCATCCGTTTTGGCAGTGCGGGCCACATAAAATCTGTGGGAGTGGGATCTGATGTGCTGTGGGGAGTAATGATATGCAAGCTTTTTGTGGAATTGGTACGTGAGCACGCAGCGCGGGTTGAAGTTCAAGAGTTTTAACTATGTTGCTTTAATTGAAACCTGTGCTGTGCAATTGTGGGCGTCAGACGGAATTAACAGATGAAGGTCAGCTCTTCCCTCCAATATTTCGCTGGTCCCAAGCCGATGGATTTCCAAGTGACTGGCAAGGTTGATTCGTAAATCGTGTGTAAGGTAGAACCGTGTCGTGGAACCGTGGAATAACCTGCCCGAGGTGATTATTTTGTCTCAATCTGTGGAGGAATTTAAATAGCGGCCTGAGAAACATATGCTGCAGCTACATGCTGATTATGTGACCCTTTAACCATAAAACCAGTGATCTATGTGAATCGATGTCTATATTCACAGGATGCTGAAATTTCTCTACATTGTTGCTATTTGATCAATTTTATGTACAAATAGGGTTTGCAGGTGTAAACCTATTCCTCTCAAAAACACTGACTGAGTGACCAAAATAGCAACAATTTGGTGCCGTTTCTACGTAATTAGTGACGGCAACTCTAGTGGCGAGTTAATAATGCTGGTGGCGGAGGAATTTTAAAGAACGCGAGGAGGGTTGGTCTTGGGGAATTTGTTCTGGATACCGCTACCACATTCGTGAATTTATCTAAAAAATCTAACGCGGTGTTTATATCTTTAGAGGGAACATTAACAGTCGGGGTGAATCTGCTGGTTTTGTTTCACGTTCTAGGAACGGGTTTGTGGCGTGCAGTGCGATGTGTTTGCCAATGACGGAAAAACCAATGTATGGTTCGCAGTCGGGACATGTCAGAATTGAGTCAACATTGCTTGTGGAAGGGACGATAGTGACGACAGTAATCAGAATGTTGAGAAGTTGTACACTGGTGATGGTGCTGTCCTGCTAAATGGGGGAGAGAAAAAATTGTCCTAAGACTGTAAGTCGTTCAAGGAAAGAAATAGTTGCCCTGTGTCACACGGCAGAGCTTTTGAGAATGAGAAGTAATATGCAGGGAACAGTTTTCTATGTAAAAGTGGCGTAAAGTATTATCAACAGCCAGGTCTTCGAGATCTGGCTGTAGATAATACCAGTTTATTGACCAAATATCGTCCAATGGGGCAAAACGATCGTCTTTATAGGGAGTGCTAATCGTGGATCCCTCCATGATACCGAAATTAATAATGTTTCATGAGCGAGTCGGAATATTTAGCATAAAGGAGACGAATGGCAGCAATATTGCCGTATTTCAAACTCACAAGTATAATAGGTGTACGCACAGGCTAGTTGATTATCAATAGCGTTGAGGAGTCGCAAATAATCATTTCAGGTCGAAGTCCAGAAGCCAGAAAGACGCTAGATTAAAGTTAAAACTAGAAACTGCCTCTAAAAATCAAAATACGATGTGCGCGTGAACAGCTTGCAGGAAAATAATAAGTATCAGAAGACGTCGTCACAAACATAAGATATCTTTTTGGGAAACAAGGTGAATAAAGTCAATTCCTAGCTTCGCATAGTAGTAATTTTTTTATCTCGAACGGGGGCCATAACCCGTCTAGTCATGAAATCCAAGAAGCCGAGAAAAAACGGAAGATAAAGCTCTTTTCTCTGCGAAAATGCGACGTGTTTCAAAAGAATGTACGGAAACCATCAGGTTGCGATCAGTCCCGAGTAGGCCTAAGGAAAACTGGACAGAAACAAACAGTCTCAGAAAAGACCAGACTCGAGATATCCTATCTGTGAGTAAAAGGAACAACCAGATTGCCCTCGCCTGCACCCAGGACTTCCGAGTAGAGGACAAAGATCTCAGAAGAACTCAATTCCTTTACGGTTACCTGATACTTGATGTTTAAATCGACTGAAGCCTGTAATACTTTATAAGCGTTAAAAACACCGTAAAATAACAGAGAAGCGAATAATATTTAGGCTTTTTTACAGGCGGAAGACAGAAAATAGCTTGTATTACAGACGTACGGGTAAGTGTCAACGCTGAAATTTAAATGATTTAACACCAATGCGAATTATAATTTACGATCCTTTTAGTATGTGCACCTTCGGAGAAGAGTAAAAGCTTATGGTCGGTTAGAGAGGCAGTCGCTATCTCTCAATAACTAGAATAATGTCTGTCTCACGTTAAGGTAATTCGTCTAACAGGATCTGACAGTTAAGATAGGTTATTATTTTAAACATCACATGGTTGTTCTCGAAACACATTCAGAAGCATTTACTTGTCCTGCCATTTAGGAGTCCGTTTATAACGTGAATAAACTTTTCTCCGTTACCGTTGCTATTAGGGCAGTTGCCTATACTCAGTGAGGCTGGGGGTCGACGTGTGCATGTGGATATTTTTTCAGGCGCACCGGTGAAAACGTATTTTAAGTCTATTGAGAAACCTCTTTCAAAGGAGCATTTCATTTACCTTTGAAAATTAACTGCGCACTTTCGGGTTCGACTCATGCCTCCTTATACCTCATATGGCTGCCTCGATTCGTGTAAGAATTTGTGACGCTTCCTATAAAGTTTGCCTGTTTAATTTAGGACGATTACCTCAGACAAACCCTGTAGAGATAGGTGGCTTTCTGTAAAAAAGTGCACTTACCTAACTTGTGCACTCATATGATGTCTGAACGAATTTTGTGCGCGTTATCGAGGACCACCCGCACACACGAACTGGAAAATAACATAATACGTAACGTGGTCTAAACACTCAAATACCCTATATGTTTCCCTATTGTAAAGCAGGGTGTCTTGGTGTATTCGCACTCTTCTCATTGCAAATGGAGAGGGCAAGCTTATTTGTCGAATTCTCAACCTATCCTAAGACCTCTGCATCTGTTATAGACCACGTCAATGAACGATGCACAGGCTGCGGTTGAACAGGCCACATGAGGGGTTTGTTCCCGGGAGGAAGCTGCAGTCGGAAGTTAAGAAGTCAGAAAAATCAAAGTGTGCACAAGAGAGCACAAAAGAAAACGCAGACAAACTGAAGCATTCACGAACTGGACTCCAGATAAAGATTTACTACTTTCTAAACTGACTCCAAAATTATATCGACAAATGCGGGGAGGCAGTTCCGTGAAGTAGCGTCTCTAGAAAATCATAATATTCAAATTTGGCGACGAAGTACCGCAGTAAGTTCCATTTTATTGGGAAATACCGGGGTCCAATTATCTGAAAGGCATAAAAGACCTAAGATCCATTTTCGGGTTTCGTTCCAAGTTAGTAGCACAGAAGTTAAGAGGGTATGAAAAGTGGCGATTTGTTGGACAATGAATTAGCGCCACTTTCCCTAACAAATTAAGTCAATATAGTTTTAAATTGCGTCTTAGTTTGTCCAGTTGAATGTGAAGAACTGTCGGCTAAAAAGCTCATTAATGTTTGGATTCTCGCCCATATCTTCCAGGATTTTGAGATTCTCTGCTTTCCTTGAAGCAGTACGCGCCCATTTCTCAACTGACCCACTGGTTTATCGTGCTCCTGATTGCGAATTTTGAAACGCCTCCCATTTTTACCAGTTCTTGCTGACTAGCATTGGACTGTCGTGCACTTTCAAACTTCCTTCGGTACTTCTATCTTCCACATTTAAACACTATCTGAACTTCTTGGATGCATAGATTTTTTGTTACACGAAACATTTTATCAATTGAAGCCCTGAAACTGTCCGTACCCAGGGTATATTAATTTTCGTTACATCTACAGCAGATGGTGAGCTTTGCTTTAATGGTGTCAGTCAAAAGTAATTAAAATTTCCGGATACGCAACGGACTCGACTTTCGGAACACTTTTATGCAGTGGGGTCCTGCTCAGACGCATTTCTAAGCTACTTTATTTTCTCCTGGTGAATAGTTGAGTTTTGTACTTATTCACAGCAGGTGCTTTCGGCTGACAGATGAACTCACTCTGAACATCGAGGAATTCTCCGTCCATAGGCACCTTAAGTTGTTTGATTTCCTGATGGCGTATGCTAGAGGTTCATGTCCTGAGAAATTCTCAATACGACTAAATGCATTTCTATCTAACACATAGGCAGAAAGTTTTCTTTGGGAA